ATCTGGAACACCAGATGCATCCGTATGAGGTGGGCTCGAGCCACATACTAGCCTGGCATGTTGCTCTCACATGTGGCCCGACCCAGAGACTGCAATGAAAGGGGCAGTAATAAGCAATACGGTAGCATGGCGTGAATCAGCCAAAACAATCGTCGCCCAACTGCGCGGTGCAATACGTGCACCACGCGGGTCAGACCGAGTGGCCCCGCACGGCTACACGCAAGAGCGAACCTGGGCAAGAGTGACCTTCAGTGCGCGACTTTTGGGGAGGGCCAAACCCGGGCAAAGAAAAACCTGCCATCGTATCGCAGTAAGCCATCCGGGTACACCGATGTTGCCCGCACCAAAGGTCACTCTGGCGAAAGGTCACTCTTAGGTGTAGCGGACCCGTCGCCCTGCTCGCAAAGATAACCATCACTGTGGCATGCAATTGCTCATAACACCGGGCCGAATGTCCATTTGGCCCACGTGCTCGCTGCTACCATTTCGAGGAATGGTGCTCGCATAACGGATGACCGAATCCTCCCGTGCCAACACCAATTCCTCTCCACTTCCCTTCCCTCGCCCCTCCCGCATCCCGCTCATCCTTCCACTCCCCCTCCTCCTCCCTCCCAGACCTCCGACGTCATGTTCGTCTTCAAAACGAAAGGCCAAACATGCCTGGACAACTTGCCCAGAACCAACTTTTCATCCCGGGCCCGTTTTGATCTACCCAGGGGCCTGGTACGGGCCAGAAGCAGAAAAGTGCAAAACGACATATGCACGCGGGCATCTTTTTCTGACGTCGGCGTTGTTCGCAGAGGCGCGAGCGGGAGCAAATCTGGCTGAAATCGACGCGTTCCCTAAAAACGCCGACCACGCGACAGCATCTCCAAGTCGACCGAACTTCCGACCAGCGCACACCTGTCTTTCCGGTTGCCTTCCAAAACTCGAGCAGGTCTGTGTCTCCTCCTCTTCCCTGCGCTGAGATCCTTCCTCCGTGTACGGCAACACTTCCACCAATGACCCCGCTGGCCGCGCCTGCACCCGGCCGCCTGGTCCGCGGGAGACAGGCCAGGCTCCTGGCGGAGCAGCAGGCACGGAGAGGCCGGCCACGCGCAGGAGGTGGCCCTGGGCAAGAGGGACTTCCCAGACATGCTCGCGCCGAGGTGCAACAAAAAACACGAAGAGAGGTTGTTCGCCGTTCTCGGCCTCCGAGGGCCCCTCGCCGCGCCCCCGGATGGTCGAGCAACGAACTGGGACGACCAATCGGCCCTGGGGAGGGGGAAGGGCCTTCCAGGGACCCCGTAATGAAAACGACAGGACAGCGCACGTCTGGGTTTGGTGCGCGGCTCGCCGATCGTTGCGTTCGCTGCGACCGCAGCGGCCTGCGTGCTCGAGGGTCTGCCCCCGCCCCGCCCCCCCCCCAGGCCAAGAACCCGCAGCCACGCACCCAGGGACACCCTGGCGAAGGGTCGCTCTTGCGGGCATCCGAAGGGAGCGGAGCGCCTGACTCTCAGCACGGCTTGGAGTGCTCCTGGTGCCGAGGCCGCCTCCAGCAGCTACGTACGCCTCACAAAGGCCTCAGCACAGCATCCGGGGGGAGGGCAGCCCCAAGGGTTGCAACAAGAGGGGGCCACGAAGCACCGTGAGGTAGCACCATGGTGACTACAAGAAACTGCGGGGCAGTTCACTCTATTAGGGGGAGCAGCGTTTCCTTGAGGCAGCCGTTTGGCAGATAGGATGCTACAAAGCCAACGCGGCCAGCAGATCCAGGATTGACTAAACCAAGACATCCAGCGCCTCGATTGTGTCCATGCTTGGGCTCCTGGACCTCGCGACCCCTTTCCCAGAGCCGGCGTGTCATCCAGAGAGGGGGGTCTTGACTGCCCCGAGGCCACAAACAGGCTTCCACATGCCAAGCTGGCCACCTCGATTTTTGCAGGGCGCCGGCCGGATTTCAAGGAAGGATCAAACTCATTAGTGGGATGTGCAGCGGCACAGCCAGCAGCGTCGCTGCCCGTTTCACTGACCGCTTCTCAGCAGCTCAGCAGGGCTCCTGCAGAAGCTTGCTGCTGCGAGCTATCGCGGCCCTATCCCCCCCTGTGGGCATGGGCCTCCCCGCATCCGCCAGCCCGCCCCTGCAGCAAAGCCCGTCACCCAGGGCCGTCCCCGAGCATCTGGGTGCTGCACGCCTGTGTGCGCTCGCTCGCCGCTCCTCCTCCTGTCCTGGGGCGACCTTGTCCTCGTTTTCATACTGCAGCCTGTGCCTCAGCCCCTGGGTGTGGCCGCAGTGCCAAACCGCGTCCACTGACAGGCAGCGTCAGCACAGGCTGGCCGCCCGGCCACACTCGAAGTCCTTCGCGCTGTGAGTGTCCTTCCGCCCATTGCTCCCTCCGCGGCAGTGGCCCGCCCTTGTCTCCCCCTCTTGCCGCCAGGACAATTAATGCCTGCCATTGCCTGGCCCACTCGAGCGTGCGTGCGGATTGCCTTTGCCGAGCTGCGACGAAAAACAAAAAACACCGGCACGTTCCGCGTCAGTGAATCCGACCCGGGGAACCCCCCTTGACACTCCTGGGGCCCAGGAAGGGCCCCCCCCCCCCCATGAAACGAAGCTGGCGAGAAGCCTTCCATCGAGGACTGTCTCGCGACGAGGGGGGGGGGGAGGGCCAAGGGTCAGGAGAGGAGGCGAGGAGGCCAAGGGAGGGGGCCAAGGGAGGCTCCAGCCTTCCTGGCGAGGAGGCCAAGGGAGGGGGGGGGGAGGGGAAATCTCCCCCCCCGCGGCTCCTGCTGGGGCACGCCGCACGGGTGGATGCTGGCCACGGGCACCGCCACCCACGCGGCCCCGTCGGCGGGCCCTGGGCCCCACGCGGGGGCTCCCGCGGGATGGCTGGCGAGGAACGCCGACAGCTCCTGGAGCGGCGGGTGGAAGGGAGCGGCTCCCCGGAACTCCGCGGCGCCTGTGGCCGCCGCGACTAAACTCGGGGTCCACGCTGCGAAGAGACATCGCGGCGATTTTTCGTTATTCTCTTCCGTTTCGACCAACGGCGGCCGCATTTTCGTCGCACAGGACAATCGAATATGGATCTGGGGCGAAAGACTGCCCCCGGTGGAAAACCCAGTGTCGCATGCGCAGGACGGGGGAGATCCTCCTCCCACGCCTTACCTGGGCCTCCCTTGCCCTCGTTCGTCGATCCCTCCTCGTGCTCCTCCTCCTCCTCCTCCTCCTCCTCCTCCTCCTCCTCCTCCTCCTCCTCCTCCTCCTCCTCCTCCTCTTCCTCCTCCTCCTACCCCTCCTCCTCCACATCCTCATCGTTACTTAGTATCTTGGTAGTTGCGGTCGCAGCTCACGACATCTCGCGGGCAATATCACTGTGCGAGTCAGGTGGCCGCTCGGAGAAGCCCAGGAACGCCACACAAGCCGACCTGCTTTTCCCCTATATTTGTCCTGCTCATCCTTCTGATCTACTCTGTTTCTTTATAAACCCACCACCTTGGCGCAGACACTACGTGTAGAGTCGGAGGTTGGGGGGTGAGATCGAAGTGGAACGGAAAGCCCCCCTACCGGGAAATCGATTTCGGTTTCGTGTTCGTGCGTGCCGTGCGGGCGAGGCGAAGCTGCGTGGGCGGGCGAGAGAAAGTCTCCTGTGGCTGAAGCGCGGCTGGACCAAATGACTCCCTTCCGGGCGGCCGGGGGTTTGCGGTGTCCCGCCGGTGTCCCGCTGGTGTCCCGTGTGGCTGAGGCGCGGCCGGACCAAATGACTCCCTTCCGGGCGGCTGGGGGCCCGCGGTGTCCCGCCGGTGTCCCGCGGTGTCCCGCGGTGTCCCGCGGTGTCCCGCGGTGTCCCGCCGGTGTCCCGCCGGTGTCCCGCGGTGTCCCGCGAGGATTATGATGATGATGATGATGATGAGATGATGATGATGATGATGATGATGATGATGATGATGATGATGATGATGATGATGGTGTCCCGATGGGGATGATGATGTTGATGATGGTGTCGATGATGATGATAGCGTCCCGGTGATGAGGATGATGCTGCTCATGATGATTATGTTGATGATGATGACGATGATGGTGTCCCGATGATGATGATGATGATGATGATGATGATTCCGATTATGGTGGTGATGATGATCACTTGCCGGCCTCCAACCCTCAGGCGACGGTAGACGATCGATAGCGCGCATGCATTTTCCCACGGGCAGTGAGCAACGCTCTCGAACTCTGAGGTGGATGACCACACATGTGTGAAGCGCCGTCTTGGCGCGCAGATCAGGCATGCACAGCTGGGCCTGAGGGGAGAAAGGAAGGAGAGGGGGGGAGGGTCAGAAAAAGAAACTTGAGCCAAGAGTCACCAGATCAGGAGGCTCTTGCGAACATGACAACTCTGCACAATTTGCTTGGTGCCCTTTTTACTGTGCGCGCCGACTGCAAAAAGGCACCGGTACACCGGTGACCTTTTATCTCTTCCAACCGGCTTGGAAAGGTCACCGGTCACATGCGTGCATTGATCAGTCATTTAGCTCTGGCAAACATGGTGACACTGCATAGCAAGCTGGTGCCCTTTTTACTCTGCGCGCCGACTGCAAAAGGGCACCGGCCCACCGGTGACCCTCTGTCTCTTCCAACCGACTTGGAAAGGTCACCGGTCACATGCGTGCATTGACCAAAATCTCCTGCTCTCAGGAGGCCCAGGCAAACATGATACCTCAACAAGTTGATAAATCACTTGCCGGCCTCCAGCCCTCAGGCGACGGTAGACGATCGATAGCGCGCATGCATTTTCCCACGGGCAGTGAGCAACGCTCTCGAACTCTGAGGTGGATGACCACACATGTGTGAAGCGCCGTCTTGGCGCGCAGATCAGGCATGCACAGCTGGGCCCACGCCCATATGATGAACGGGGAGGGTGGGCTGGGAGCATTAATCATTTTGCACAGCTCATTGGCGCTGGGACTAGGGCGCGCTCGGTAGCAGGATCGGCGCATTCACGATGCGGCGGGCCGCGGCGAACAGTTCACGACGCCGCGGCGCGGGCGGCCTGGGGGCCTGCTGAGCTTCCCGCCGGGAGCCTGGGCGCCACCGCGCCCTCGATGATCCCCTGCAGGTTCTCGTCGGCCCACTCGCAGAACAGCTTGGCGTCGCGCGGCAGCGCGTGGAGCAGCTTCTGCACTTGCCCCGCCTTGGCGCACCTTCGCACCGAAACCCCCGACAGCCAGCGCCCCCGGGCCATGATCTCCGAGAGCCCCCTCGCCTTTGTGAGGAGGTCTCCGGACGCCCCTCCGTGTCGCAGCTGGTAGAGGCACAGCCCAGGCAGCCCGAGGGGCGTCGCGGCGGCTCTGAACTTGCTGACTGCCAGACCCGCCTCGACCGACAGGAGCAGCTCCTCGCCCGCCCGGCGCCCCGCTGCTTTCTCCAGGGCAGGGCCCGCCCAGCTCGGCGAGTCCAAGGCAATCGCGTCGTCGAAAGTCCCCGTCTTGCTGACCACGTAGTCTTCCTGCGGCGCCACCACGATGGACCAGTGGTCGAGGGCCGACTGCTGGCCGCGGCGGCGCTTCCGGCCCACGGGAGCGACCAGGTCCTTCACTTTTAGGCCTCGCGCCTCTCCCGGCCGGAGGTAAGCGACCCAGGACATCAGTACCATCAACGCCAGGTCGTGGAGGCCCCAGAACTTGAGGACAGTCACGAGGCCCGCCATCACGAGCCTCGGGATCGGGGCCCTCGACCGAGGGGGCCGTTTCTTCCTGAAGCCCTTCAGCGCCCTGGTCACTCTCGGCATGACGTTGACACCTGGCACCGAGAACATGTGGTGCTTGACAGCTGCGACCACCTTCTCGGCGTCCCCGTACTCGTTCCCCTCCTCTAACAGCACGTCCAGGTAATCCAGGAGGAGGTTCGACAGGGCCGAGGCGGTGGACGGGAGAGGCTCCTTGACCTCGTTTGCGACCCATCTGCGGAACGCGTCGAAGTAGGTCTCGCACTGCAACGTGCAGCTGTCGCCGAGGGCGGCGGCCTCGCACGCCGATCTCATCCCTCGCGAGGCCAGACGCTGTGGGGGGGCCGACCCGCGGACCACCAGCCTGCTCTGCCCGGCGCGCCTGGCGGCCGTCGGCCCCTTTCCCCGGCCTCCCGCGGCTCTCCGGCGACCAGGGCCCGCGGCCGTCGAGGTGCTCCCGCCAGCCGCGTTCTGGACGGCCGACAGCGCGACGACTCGCAGCAGCCCGCTCGAAGAGGCGGGATGGCTCATCGCTCGGGTTCCACTCTGACGGGATCCACCGCGCCGAGCAGCTCAGGTTGGCCGCGAGCTGAATGGCTGCGGACCTGCGACAAACCTGCAAGAATCCAAAGCTCGTGGCTCTGCCTTTCGTGAGGGCCAGCGCGAGCCCGTAGTTGTCGACCAGGAAGAGCCTGCGGGCCCCGTGACATTCAGGATAGCGGGCAACGCGACGCAGGGCCCACAGGAAAGCCCTCCCCTCCAAGACACCGATGTACTCGCAGTAGCGAAACCTCCCCGCATACACAGTCTTCCAGTGGCCCTTCTGGCAGACCTCGAAAGGGACCTCGGGGAAACCCTCGCGCTCAATCCATCGCCTATCAGCTGGTACGGAGCCATCCGGATCGACAGTACGAGGATCTACCACCGCGTCAAATTCTCCCAGAGCCCGGGCCCGAGGGGCCCATTCTGAAGGTTGTAGACGCCGAAATCTCCACCTCTCGTTCCACCGCCCGATGTCCCCGACTTCCCTGCTGGAGAGGATCCTCTTACAAGCCCCGTACCCAGACTTGCACGCGTCGGTAGCCCAGACTTCGCCAGCCCAGCCCAACGACATGTCGGAGGAGAGGACGGGGAGGACGGCCGCCATGAGCCAGAACTCATACTGGACGGAGGCCCAGAGGTCAATATGGTTTTTCCCGGCGACTCTGGTGAATTCGTAGCAAGCTCGGAGGATGCTGAGAGCCGGCCGACGGAAGATGGCCGCAGAGACAAAATGCCCGATGAGCGCCTCAACCTGCTCTCCCGAGGCCCGCTTCTGGGAGGCCATCCAGAGCAAGGCCCCTCTGATGAGCCACATGCGGTCGATGCTCCGCCGCACGGTCGCGGGTTCGCCCCCGACCGAGGCCCCCAAGACGGTGCCCAGCGGCTCGGCCTCGGTGATGTCGTGCATCTGGAACCCAGCGTCCTGGAAGCCCTCCAGGATGCGGTCCCGGACGCCGAGGGCCCTGTCCGCAGAAAGTCCGAAGACCGTGACGTTGTCGCAGTAGGGCAGGGTGATCGGGCCGGTGTCCAAGGGCGGCACCGGCCAGGAGCCGACCACCGTTTGCTCGGCCGCGATTCCAGCCTGCCGGAGGATGCCAACGTGGACCTGCTGGATCAGCCAGAAAGCCCAGGTCCAGCCCATGGGCACGACCGCGAGCACGGGGAACACCCAGTCGGCGCCGTCGAGGTTCTTGCCCCAGATGTCCACCTCGAACCCGATCGAGGCGGCCTCGCTCCTCGAGATGCGCTGCATCGCGAAGTAGACCGACAGCTCCGGGCTGAGGCCGCACTGGTAGAAGCAGTTCATCACGTCGGCCTGGGCCGTGTACAACGTCTCGCCCTCTGGGACCTCGAGCTGGGCGAGATTCTCCGCGGCCCCGATTTCCATCTCGGGGCACCTCCGGAAGTTGAGGTTGGTCTGGCGACAGTCGAGCACCAGACGCTGCTGGTTCTTCTTTTTCTTGACGAAGAAAGGGCGGCAGCTGCCCTTCTTGCTGCGCGAGGCTCCGATCAAGACCGCGGCAGCCATCCGGGCAAGGAAGGAGATGTAGAGGGAGCGGTCGGCCCTGAGCCTCTCGTCGAAGTAGGGGGCGACCTGGGCCTGCTCGGCCTTAACGTCATCCTCTGGCCTGTCCGAGAGCATCAAGTCCTCAAAAATGCGGACCACCTCGCTGAGCCGAGGTGGGAGGACGTCCGCGAGCGGCACCGGGGGCGACGAGCCGTCGGGCAACGAGACCTTCGAGCCATCGTACGGCACCACTGCGCTGCCGTCGCCGTGATAATCGAGACGATGCCCGAGAAACTCTCGTGAAGCTTCCTCAGGCGTAGGCACAGGTATTGAAGGTGTAGCTGAGGAGATCGTCCGAAGGATATGCCTGTGAGCCGCCGCCTGCGCATCGTTGATGGTGCTGGCAGGTGCCGTCTCGCAGCCGTACAGGGCGTTCAGCGCCTCCACGGCCGCGTTGGAGTCCCTCCAAACAGCTGCGCGGTGCCCAGCGCGTCGAGCTGCGACGCGCGACCGCCCCGGTGGCCCAGGTGGAGCAGCCCGCGGGACCGGCGGCATGGGAAAAAGATCACACGGACGAGGCTGATGGGTCTTGCTCGGCTCTCGGGGAGGGCGAGCGAAGTCCTTCCAAGTCCCGCGGGCGTGCAAACAGGTCCGGCGGTCATTAGAGGGCTGGGGTCCGCCACGGACCATATCATCCCCAGCCCCGCGTCTCTTCTTCATGACTTATTGGCGGAATCGTCCTTGCCGGACTTTCCGCCTTTCTTCGCTTCTCGTGCTTTGCGTTTTTCCTTGTCGACGGCGGCCTGCTTGCCCATCTCGCTGGCCACGTGCTGCCGCAGCGAGGGGGCCATGCCAGCGCCGCCCTTGCGCTCCTCGATGCCGAGGTAGTGCTCCCAGCCGTCCCAGCTCGGATTATGCGGGTTGTCTGCGTGCACCTCCTCGATGAGCTGCTTCCTCCTGAACGGCAGCTCCGCCATGCCCAGGTTCCTGAGGTTGAGCCCGTCCTCGGTCGCGCCGATCTGCAGCGCCTTCGTGAGGACCTGGTGCTCGTGCACCGAGCGGTCGCGAGGCTTGGCGCCTGACTCCGCTACCCACTTGTCGTGCTCATGTACGAGGCCCCCTCCGCCCCCGCGCGCCGTCCTCTCGACGAGGTAGCCGCCAGTGCGCGGGCCGGAGAGCGAGTACTTCACGTTAGGGTCCTCGATCATCTCAGCGGCGCACTCCGCGAAGGCGCGGGGCCTCCCCGTCGGGTCGACCGAGATGGTACGCCTGTCGATGGCCAGCTCGGTCTGCCGCTGCATCACATATTGATCGATGTCGGTCCCCGCCGCCAGGAGCCTGAAGGCGCGCGTCCGCCCGTTGAAGCCCAGGAAGGCCCGGGAGTCGACGACGTGGATCCCGGCGGGCGCCTGCACCTCGAACCCGACGCTGAAGCCGGCGGCGGGCTCGTCCAGCACCCAGGCGCCCCCGACCCCGGCGATCCTGCGCACCGCGGGGGCCGCCGCGGCGGCCGCGGGCGCCGCGGCCGCCGGCGCCACGGGCGCCGCTGCTGCAGCGCCAGCCGCGGCAGCGGGGGCGGCCAGAGGCGGGGCTGCCGCGACCGCTGGCACGATGGCAGCAGCTGCCGCACCGCCCGCTGGCAAGACGGCCGCGGGCGCGGCTCCAGCAGCCCCCGCAACCGGCGCGCCTGGTGGCGCCGCGGCCGGGAGCCCTCTCGCCGTGAGCTCGGCCGCCCCAACCTGCTGTCCCTCCGCGAGGAGTTGCTGCTGCTGGGCGGCAGTCGGCCGGGGGCTGAACGCGCGCGCCCGGCCGACCCCCATGACGGCCGCGCCTGGCGCCGCCGGGAATCGGATGCCCGTGAGGTCCGGGTTCTGGGCGTCCAACTGCTCCACGAAGATGTCGTAGTCTGGAGAGCACACCACATACTCGTGGCCTTGTATGTGAAACAAAATCAGCCTTTCGTGCCAAAGGTCATCGTCGTAACGCACAAGCACCACATCACCAGGTCTCAAGGCCATCCCTTACCTGGCCCTGTCCTTGGAGTGAGAGAGCTCGCCGCGCCCGAAGGTGAGACGGGACCTTGAACTTGACCGGCCGTTCGTTCGCCGGCGTCTCGTCGTCTAGTGCTGGCCTCCTGGAGGCGCAGACCCACCAGCCCAGCGATACCAGCGCCCCCAGCGTGAACCCCGCGACGCCCGCGAGGATCGCGAGGAGGGAGGGGGGCGTTCCCTCCGGGCAGGGAGGGCAGACCGGGCACGTCGGGCAGGGCACCGCCTGCAAGTGCTCAGGCCCACACCGCCCGAGCTGCTCGCGGAGGACCTCCCCGCGGGGTAAACGCCGGTAAAAATTTGCACCGCCAGAACCACGGTGCAAATTTGGTTCCCAGCGGTGCAAACTTTGGTTTTGAACGGTGCAAAGTTTCTGGCCGCGCGGAGCAGCAAACGGTGCATTTTTTTGTTGCCAGCGGTGTAAATTTCCAGCGCCAAGCGGTGCAATTTTTTGTTGCCAGCGGTGCACACTTCCAGCGTGCATTTTGCGTTGTTATCATCACTCGCGGTGCAAATTTCCAGCGTGCATTTTGCGTTGTTATCATCATTCGCGGTGTAAATTTTCAGGTTGCACCTTGCGTGGGCGGATATGTGCATTTGGCGTGATTCGCTCGCGGCCCAACGCGAGCGCGTTGCATTTAGTCCATGCTCGCGGTGCAAATTTCTTGTGTGTATCTGGCGAGGTATCGTTACAGTGCGTGGTCGCCTACCGCTTGCGAGTGCGATGGGCCTCACAATCGGTTTCACGGAGCGCCATCGGGACACCGCATGATACAACGGGACATCATCGGGACACCATGACCCACGGGAGGAGCGGGACAGGATGATTGACGCGATGCCCCATGTGCAGTTGCCCGCCGCATACGCCGATTTTCATGTGTGCGGATCGGCGTCGAGCTTCTCTATATAGTAGCAGTAGTAGTAGTAGTAGTAGTAGTAGTAGTAGTAGTAGTAGTAGTAGTCGTAGTAGTAGTAGTAGTCGTAGTAGTAGTCGTAGTAGTAGTAGTAGTAGTAGTAGTAGTAGTAGTAGTAGTAGTCGTAGAGCCTCTGCAGATGTCTCTGTCTACACAGTTCGCACAAGCACCCCTTTCGTCACTTGGTTGGCTTAGCAGAGACCCGCCAAGCTTGAAATATCTACAATCACGGGTCGGCCCGCGGAGCTGCCTTCTCGCGAGGCTTGCTCGCCCCGCTGCTGCGACGGCCAGCGCTGCTCCTCGGAATATTTGTTCGTGGGCGAAGCGCAATATGAGATCGCCTCGCTGGTTTAAAGTCCGACCCTCTCGATGCCGAAGCCTCGTTGCAACGGACTTCGGAAGGGCCGCGCTTGAAATCAGCGGGATGGCCCCGAACCGCGATTCTCCCCCGAACGAAGGGCTTCGCGTTCAGGCTCGAGCTCGCGCCGAGCCTGCTCACAACGATGTGTTTCGACGGCTCGCTCCTCGATCGGAACCAGATCGAATATACACGCTCCCACGGGGGCCCACAGACAATTTCGAACCGTTCCTTTTTCCCTTGCCCGCGCCCCACGATTGCTCTGGAGGTCAGGTGTCGTTTGGGAGGTCATGTCCTGTGCACGTGCTTCGAGTTTGTGCATCTTTCGTTCGCGAGCTTCGGCTGTGGGGGACTCGCACTCGCTCGACTCTGCATGGATCTCCTCGGGCTCCGAACCTGCAGGCCCCATGAAGGCCAGATCCGAGCGGACGACGAAGGATCGATCGCCGATGCATCGTCGTTTCGGTGCCATCGACGCCATGGCCGATGCGCGATCGACGCAGCGCCGATGCATCGACGATTCGATGCATCCGATCGCGGTCGCCGTGGCGTTGCCGATGCACCTCCGAGACATCGATGTCCCCTTTTATTCGCACCCTGACCCCCAAGGCAGCAGAACCTAGTTGTCCGCGCGCCACCTCCTGATAGATGCATCGCTCGGGCCTTAGCCCGCCTCTGCCGCAGCCTGCTCTTCCTCCTCCTCCTCCTCCTCCTTGGCCATCTTCTCAAATTCTGCCTCTCGCTCCGCTGCATCTGGGGGGATCGTGGCAGCGAGCTCCTTCCAATTCGGCAGCCTGCGACGCCGCATGCGGCCCGCGGAGGATACGAAGGAGGAGGAAGAGGAAGAGGAGGAGGAGGAGGAGGAGGAGCAGGAGGAGGAGGGATTGCGAGGAAGCTGAGGAGGAGGAGGAGCATGAGGTGGAGCAGGAGAAGGAGGAGGAGAGCAGGAGGAGGACTAGGATCAGGGTTCAGACCGATCCCAAACGCGTGCGAGGAAGGCGGCGCTGCGAAGCCTGGTCGCGTGCCTCTCGAGAGCGATCCCTCGGGTCGGAGGTGGACCCCAGATCGGCATGGGGAAGGGGGAGGGGGGGCGGACTTAGTGCCGTACCCCCTTTGTATGTTACTGCTTGTCGTTTGTTGTTTGCTGCGTTGACCCTTATCGCCATATGCTTCATCAATCGTATGCTCATTTTTCGATTGTCATGCTGCGGTGCTTGTTGCACTCTGATGTGCCTTTTCGTTTTATGTTGTCGTTGTTTGCGTGTGTGCTATTGGTGTCTGATGCGATGCCGATGCAACATCTAGTCTTCCTACTCGTCACAACTGCGCAAACGCCATGTGGGGCAGCACGTGCGGCAACAAATGAACGCGTGAGAAAATCGTGCGTTCCCACGTGGCCCTGCTATGATTAGCTGACGCTGCGATCTCTGACAATACTCTGTTCAACGACTCGTCGAGGAACGTCGAGTAAGAGCGTGGGTTCCCACACCGCAAAATCCTCTGGGTGAGGTGAACGAAAAGGTGGGATTTGGGGGCTAGGTTAGCGCCCATCTCCTGCATCAAAGTCACGTGTCGCACGGCGAGCTCGATGAGCTGTCGGCACGTGGGCCGTGATATTGCACGACCCTCATGTTTTTAAAATGTCCATGTAATCCACGAGGCAACGCCCAGCAACAAACATTTGCACACTACTCTTCAAGCGGTCGTGTTTCTGTGCCACGCCAGCTGCCCAGGACACAATTGTACCAGTCTCCGCTGCTTTTGGTTTCAGCTCCTGTTTTTTTTCACCCCTACCATTTTGCTTGTGAGTTGCCCTAGCTGTTCGGATTTCGGAATGCCCCGACTGTGGTACCACTCTTTTAATCTAAGAAAAGCCGAGCAAGTGTCAACTCCAACACCTCCTCTGCATTGCCGCTCATTACATACACATTTTCCGATATACAGGCCCAAACCACAAAGGCAACGTACCGTTGAAATACACCCAAGTACAGCGTGTGTAACGTGTCAATCATTAAAGACGATTGCGGTGTGATACCGACGGCCTCACAGAATATTGGAACCCTTCGCGATACAGGATCTAAGCAAGCACCCTTTTGATCAAAGTGTCGTCGCCAGAAGCAGGCCTCAAATGGCAATGTTGCCTCCTCGAACTGACCTGTGTCGAGGCGCCCAGGGGATGGATCCAGCCGATCTTGCGGCCGAAGCTGAGGAAGGCGTGGCACTCGACATTGCAATACTCGCCCAGTCACTTTTTTGCTTTTGCTTTGAAATTTCAGCCCACCACGAAGGATTGCGTCTCTGTCAAGTTCCGTGCGGATCCAAACCCTAATCTCGCAACTACTGCAATCCCTCTCATACTGATCATCGTCAATCGTGCCCCACGCGTGGCCATCCAGATGAACATGGTCATAATTATGCATTGTCCTTTTGCTACACCTGCAGAATATGCAAGGCCTGCGCTTGGAGTTCCAACTGGCAAAGCCAAACGTGGATGTGCATTCCATCCAATCTCCTTTGATTTGCGCAATCAAAAACCTGAACGGCATCATTGGGCTGTCTCGATATAACTCAGCATGCCGAGAATGTTCAGGCCACGGGGAACCGTCGCATTGCACCGCGGGCCTGCGTCCAGAAGCAGCGGCGGCATAGCTCTCTTTGAGAAATAAAAAACACCGGGTACAAAGTACAATGCCCACCGCAGCCACATCTGCACATCTCTCGCTTTGAAAGGACAGCCAACAAGTGTCGTTGACCAGACGCTAAAGAATATGCAAATATCCCTGTAAGAGAATCTTGTTTCCCTGCTAGAGTCGTCCGAGTGCAACGTATACCGTCTAGGTATAAAGCTGTCGGCACAACAGGCCTAGCGTCGCCAGCTAGACGGCGCTCGGGGTGATTGTTGAACGCCTCGCTCCAGTCATTGAGCTCGTCGACGGGAATGGGTTCAGGTGGAGATATCTCGCATTCTTGATTCAAGACTTCGTGGGGAGGTGCACGCAATATTCGTCTGCGCACTCTCCTACCAAACCTCCACTGGGGAACGACCAAGGTACACATCTCAACGTTAGAAGTTGGAAGCACCGCGTCAAGGTGCTTCTTGTAATTGCCAGAGCTGAGCCCAGGCCTCCTCCCGTAAAGGCGGAGGTCCGAACATTCACACCCCGATTCTGCGGCATGGTAGCACGCGATGCAGAATGAAGTGGCATCGAGTGCGCCGCGAGCGCACAGCTGCAACAGATGCTTGACAAGAGCATGCCCTGCTTGATCGCGGGCTTCTGCTGCAACATCGGCATCTGCGCCCCACGGCTCTTCTGAGCCAGAGCTATCGTCAAACCGAACAGGCTCTGGCGAGGGACTTCGGCGCCTCTTAGGCGCCATCTATCATTTCTTGTGCGAGCCAAAATAGGCTACGATGAGCTATGTTGTGTTTTCTTGTGAAAGTGTTCCGTGTCTCATTGTGCTCACATTGCTTGTGGTTTCCGTGTTAGTTCGTTTCGTGTTGTTTGTTATTTTTCGTATCTTGGGATCGTTCTCCAGAATGTCAAGTGGAATCCAGCCTATGGCAACGAGAGGTCTCCAAACGAGACCAATTCCGAAAACGTAAAACCTCGACACCTCACCAGGTATCCAACCGACGTCCGATTAATCGACGTCCCCAGTCGGATGCGTTCGGGGCAGAATTTCAAGGGGTAGATCCA